ATTAATCAGTATACTTGGGAAATGCTTCCTCCTTGGGCTCTCTGCATGGAAGGTTACAAATCACCCTGGAATGAGGCACCTGATACAGGGAGGGGTGTAAAACTAGGGAGCTGACCTGGATTCCCAAATATTTTTACATATGAAACCAAGAGGTCTGCACTTACCTGAACATCGATACATGGTAAGGGTTCTGCTGGGGCTAATGCATACATCATACATACATGCATGAAGCACATTCACTCATTTGCGAAATGGCAATTTCAAAGCTTACAGAATGTAATAGTTGTTTTTTTTTATTAAAGGGATCCTATAGGCACCCAGACTACTTCAGCTCATTGAAGTGGTCTGGGTGTAGTGTCCCAGGCACCTTAACCCTGCAATAGTAATTATTGCAGTTATTGAGAAACTGCAATAATTACAATCCAGGGTTAAATCCACCTCTAGCGGTTGTCTACCAGACAGCCACTAAAAAGACGTCGGGGTTGTTAGGCGATTTTTGCTCACTTAACTGATGCTGGGTGCATGAGTACATCCAGCATCACCCAAAACCCCAAAGTAAAGCATTATAGAATTCTATAATATGGGGCTGTCCTAATGCGCTCACATCAGCTGATGTCGGCAAAGGAGGAGCAAAGGCGCAGCCTGACCCAGTGCTGGATTCAGGTAAGATATAAAGGGGTATCTGCACTGTGGGGGGAGGGGGCTGCATGAACGAAGGGGGCACTATATGGAGTTAAAGTGCTAGGCATACAAGTTTGTATTCCAAGTCTATAGTTTCCCTTTATTATTAGGTTATTATTTATTTATATAGCGCCATCAAATTCTGCAGCGCTTTACAATGAGTGGACGAACAGACATGTAGTTGTAACCAGACAAGTTGGACACACAGAAACAGAGGGGTTGAGGGCCCTGCTCAATGAGCTTACATGCTAGAGGGGGTGGGGTAAAGTGACACAAAAGGTAAGGTATTAGACTAGTGACAGTGACAAGCGAGGAATCAGTTGGGAGCTACTAACAGTTTAATTGATAATTTTTTATGAAGAAGTGTGTTTTTAATAATTTTTTGAAGGAGTGGAGACTGGGTGAGCATCTAACGGAGGAGGAAGTGCAGCCCTCGAGAAGTCTTGAAGGCGAGCATCAGAGGTGGGAGTACGGACAGATGACAGACGTAAGTCTTCAGCAGATCGTAAGGGCCTAGACGGGACATACTTGTGTATTAGGAAGAATAGATAGGTGGGAGCAGCATTATATAGAGTTTTGAAAGCAAGAACCAGAATTTTAAATTGAGCTCTATATCCTACAGGAAGCCAATGTAGGGACTGACAGAAGGGTGAGGCGTGAGAGGTGCGGGCGGACAGGAAGATGAGCCTCGCTACCGCATTAATTATGGACTGTAATGGCGCAAGTAGACAGTGCAATGGACCAGCATCGTAGTCGCATCTGGCGTTAAGTATGGTCGGATGCGCACAATGTTTTTGAGATGGAAACGACAGGATTTGGCAATAGACTGAACATGAAGCTTGAAGGAGAGGTCGGAGTCAAAGAGAACTCCTAGGCAGCAAGCCTGCGCGGTGGAGCTGATGGTAGCACCTTTGACATGGAGGGAGACAGACACAGGAGTAACAAGACTTTTGGGAGGAAAGACCAGAATTTCAGTTTTGGTCAAGTTTAGTTTAAGGAAGTGGGCAGCCATCCAGTTAGAAATAGCAGAGAGGCAGTCACAGACACTAGTCAAGAAGGACGGGGAGGGATCAGAAAAGGACAGGTAGATATGCGTGTCATCTGTATTGAAATGATATTGGAAGCCAAAGAAGCTAATGAGTTTACCAAGGGAGGTAGTATAGATGGAGAACAGTAGGGGACCAAGGACTGAACCTTGGGGGACACCAACAGAGAGGAGTTGGGGAGAAGAAGCAGAGTCAGAGAAACAAACACTGAAAGAGCATTGGGAGAGGTAGGAGGAGTACCAGGAGAGAGCAATATCTTGAAGACTGATATTGCGGAGGATGAAAAGAAGCTGTTGATGATCAACAGTGTCAAAAGCCACAGACAGGTCAAGGAGAATTAGGATAGAGTAGTGACCACGAGATTTTGCAGCGAGAAGATCATTGGATACTTTGGTCAGTGCCGTATCCACAGAGTGCTTAGCGCGGAAACCAGACTGAAGTGGGTCTAGCAGAGAGTTGGACTCAAGGAAGTCTGTCAATCTCGCATACACAAATCTTTCAAGGATCTTGGATGCAAAAGGCAGTAGCGAGATAGGACAGTAGTTGGATGGGGAGTTAGGGTCAAGGTTGGGTTTCTTTAGAATTGGCGTTACAGTTGCATGTTTGAAGGGCAATGGAAATATACCAGAGGAGAGAGAGAGATTGAGAATTTTAGTGAGAGGTGGAGAAAGAGAAGAAGACAGAGTACGGATGAGATGTGAGGGAATTGGATCTAGGGAGCAGGTGGTGTGGTGGGAGGACTGGAGCATACAGAAACCTCTTCCAATGTAGCGGGTGCAAATGAACACAGAACAGCAGAGGGAGTGAAGTTAGGGGAAATATTGTAAGGGGAAGAAGAAAGATGAGTTATCTCTTCCCTAATTGTAGAGATCTTGTCAGTGAAGTGAGTTGCAAAGTCTGAGGCAGTCAAGTTAGTAGGTGGAGGAGGAACAATAGGGCGAACCCAAATATCTAGGTTTGCGGGAGAGTGTGGTTATGAGGGTATTGAAGTAATTAACTTTTGCAGAGGAAAGGGCCAAGCTGTATGAGCTCAACATAAATTTATAGTGGAGAAAGTCAGACGCACAGTGAGACCTTCTCCAACAGCGTTCAGCAGTTCTGGAGCATTTTTGAAGGTATCGAGTCAGCTTGATGTGCCAAGGTAGTTGTTGGGGGCGCCTGCAGCATTTAAATGTAGAAGGTGCCATGATGTCTAGTTGAGAGGAAAGGATGGAATTGTAGAAGGAGGTTGCAGAACTAGGACAGGTGAGGTTTGAGATAGGTAAAATAAGAGTTTGGAGATTAGTGGAGAAATGCTCTAGGTCAAGACATTGGAGGTTTCTGTGAGATTGATGTTCAGACTGTGGTTTCAATTGGGTCTTAGGTATGCCAATGTCAAAAGTCAGCAGATGGTGGTCAGATAGAGGAAAAGGAATATTTGAGAGATTAGAGGCAGTACAGAGGTTGGTTAAGACGAGATCATGAGTGTTTCCCGCTGTATGGGTTGCTAAATTGGACCATTGCGTAAAAGCCAAAGGAGGAGGTTACAGAGAGCAGACTAGAAGCATCAGTGCAATTGGGGTTGTTGATTGGGATATTTAAATCCCAAGTATAAGGGAAGGAGGGAAGAAAAGTGCTCAGTGAATAGTCTAGGATAACTGGGGGGGTGGTAGATGATAGCAATTCTTAAAGGAGTGGGTTTAAATAGGCAGACAGTGTGAACTTCAAAATAAGAAAAGGATAGGGCAGGGGGAGTTATGATTGGTTGAAAGGTACATTGAGGGGAAAGAAGGATGCCTACACCACCTCCTTTACAGTTGAATCTGGGAGTGTGAGAGAATTGTAATCCACCATAACATAAAGAGGCAGGATTAGCGCTATCAGAGGGGGACAGCCAGGTCTCTGTTAGTGCAAGCAGTGTGAGTGAGTTTGAGATTAAAAAGTAGTGTATGGTTGTTGATTTTAAATTACTGCAGATGGAGAGGGCATTCCAGAGTGCACACTGAATGTTGGTAAGTGAGGGTATGGGGCAGTGTATGGTGATGAGGTTTGTGGGGTTTCTAGTTTTCTTAGTGTGTGTAGAGAAGGTGAAGGGCCCTCGATTGGGAGAGACATCACCAGCTGCTAGAAGCAGGAGGAGAGAAAATGACAGGAAGTGTGAATGGGTTTTGTATGCATGGGGTCTAGGATGAGATCGATTGTGGGTCGGAGTGAGAGAGTAGAAAAATCAGTGTAAGGCATGAGATGAGTAGGGGGGGAGTGTAGCAGAGATGGGCATATGTGGATGGGGGATGAGTGAAGTGGGTGTAAAGAGATATTTTTTATACTGAGGGAGAAGGAGGAAATAAAGAGGAGGAGAAGACAGATCATTGCTAAACTGTGAAAAATACAAATGTGAAATAATTGGAATATCAAGAGCAATTATTATTATTATTATTATTATTATTAGTGACCAGACCACTTTTCAATTTTCTTACCGTTTGGGACCAGGGCTGTTTTTAGATTTCTGCAGTGTTTTTGTTTAGCTGTAACTTTCCTCTTACTCATCTACTGTACCCACACATATTATATACCATTTTTCTCACCATTAAATGGTCTTTCTAAAGATACTATTATTTTTATCAGATCATACAATTTACTATAAAAGAAGTTATATAATATGATGAAAAAAATGTAAAAAAAAAACTTTTTTTTCTAACTTTGTCCCCCAAAGTCTGGTACGCATCTGCAACCGCCAAAAAACACCCATGCTATATAGTTTCTAAATTTTGTCATGAGTTTAGAAATACCCAATGTTAACATGTTCTTGACTTTTTTTTGGAAAGTTATAGGGCTATAAGTACAAGTAGCACTTTGCTATTTCCAAACCATTTTCTTTTAAAAATCAACACAGGTTACATTGTAACACTGATATCTGGTAGGAATCCCTGAATAACCCTTCACATGTATATATTTTTTAAAAGAAAACAACCTAATCTATGCCAAACTAAAAAAAAAAAATGACAAAATAATTAGTTTTTTAATTTTTTTTGACAAACATAGCAATTTAAGAATACATGTACTGAGAATTTTAAGGGTTACTGCCAAAGAACACCCCGATATGTGTTCAGCAACATCTCCGGAGTACAGTGATACCATCCATGTATAGGTGTGTCAGGTTCTCTGGGGGCTAAAAGACCTTATTTGGAGGGTGCACATTCCAGTTTTCCAACATGTAATTTTCACAGTGGGTCATCATGCACCCATGTCCTATTTGGGACATTTTTGAAGCCTGCCAATGTAATTTACTCCCATCAAACCATATATTTTTTTTGAGTAGACAACCCAGGGTATTGAATATAGAGCATTTCCAGTCTTTTTTTAGTAGCCACTTAGTCACAAACACTGGCCAAAGTTAGCATTCATTTGTTTTTGTGTTAAAAATGCAAAAAACATTATGAACGCTAACTTTGGCTAGTGCTTGTGACTAAGTGGCTACTACAAAAGACTGAACATTTGCAATACCTTGGGTTGTCTTCTTTTGCAAATGGTATGCCATCATTAGGGTAATGCTCATTCCTGGGCTACCATATGCTCGCAAAGGCAACATGACCACCCTGCCAATTTTCAATGTTAAAAAAATTGCCTTATATTTGACCCTGTAACTTTAAAAAACACTATAAAACCTGTACATGGGTGGAACTGTTATACTCGGGAGACTTTACTAAAAACAAATATTAGTGTTTCAAAACACTAAAACGTATTATAACAAAATCATTAGAGAAAGTGCCGTTTGTGTGTGAAAAATGTAAAAAACATCACTTTCACTGACCATATCATTATTGTGATATGTTTTACTGTTTTGAAACACTAATATTTGTGTTCAACGAAGTCTACCAAGTAAAACAGTACCCCCCTCCATGTACAGATTTTAGGGTGCCTTGGAAAGTTACAGGGTTAAATATAGTGCTAGCAAATTAAGATATAAATATCTTAATTCAGGCAGTCCCCATGCTGGCTGCACTATGGACAGCTATTGCAGCCATTTGACTGCTCTTTTTTAGAGCGGTCACATGGCCCCTGGGAGTCCTAATCTACAGAAGGGGGACTGTCTGGGCTGTCAGACAGTCCTCCCTCTGATGAAGAATACCGATCGCCGGCGGGGGAATGGCGGCGATCGGTAAGTACATGGGAGAGGGAAGGAAGGGGTAACAAATGTTTAATTTTTTTTAACTTAGGACAGGCAGAGCATCGGAATGGCTTCCGGGTGCAACGTGGGGCGATCACACCGCGGCCCGGCAGTGAGAGGGGGCATTTTTTAAGGACTGTTTTTTGTTGGACGTACCTGATACATCCGCGGTCGGGTAGGGGTTAAACACCTGACTTAGGAGAAAAAAATGCAGGTTTAAAGGTTACAGTCTGTGATTATACAACTGCATAAGCCTGCCACAACACCATTATACCCATTTTTTGGCAGTTACGATCAAGATCAAGCATTAAGTTGCTATTTTGTCACGGTTAGGTGTTTTTTGTTTTTTTAAAGCGATGTATAATCCCAGCAATTTCACTGTGAGAGCTGTGCAATTATCAGTTCTCTCCCCTCTCATTTCTGAAAATGCAAAACCTTTACACTCCTATGAGAGGGAGGACGTAACACCCTACGCATCCTGTCTCCAAAATAGATAAACTGTAACTATAACTGAATTGGACAATTATTCCAAATCATCTTTTTTTGCCTAAATTATGCAGTTTGTATTCCAATTCTCTTCAATAAACAGTTTAAAAATTAGCCTTTGTGTGTTTTATTTTTCTTTGCTTTTTCCACTGCCACCAACATAAAAAAGGTAACTATTAGCAAGTTATATGCAAAGTAGCGTATTGCCACACTTTAGTTCTATGTCTGAAACAAATGCAGATGGAACAACATACTAATTAAACAAGGCTCAGAAAATTTTCCAAATGAAGCAGAAATTTATGTTTTTTGTTTCCAAGTTATCACTTTAGCTGAAAACAAATTACTCACTAAGCCAGAATTTGTATTGCCAAGAGTTTCTGGTTGATTTGCAAAACAGGTACAATGTTGTCAGCCAGCAGACTATAGCTATTCTACTTTTTATTAGCGCTTCTAAATATTGTGAGTGAGCAGCCTCATACCAGCAACAATGCATCAGGGAAGACTCGGGAAGAACAAACATTGTAAATTTACTGATCTATATTTGATGAAAATGTGTATTTCTTATATTTGCAGTTTATTTCACTATAATGTTACATTCTTGTCCCTATGTGTTCTTTTCTACAAATCTATATTTTCTCTAATAATTATAAACGCAACACTTTTGTTTTTGTCCCCATTTTTCAAGATCTAGACTTTTTCTATGTACACAAAAGGTCTATTTCTCTCAAATATTGTTCATAGATCTGTCTAAATCTGTGTTAGTGAGCACTTCTCCTTTGCTGAGATAATCTATCCACCTCACAGGTGTGGCATATCAAGATGCTGATTAGACAGCATGCTTATTGCACAGGTGTGCCTTAGGCTGGCCAAAATAAAAGGCCACTCTAAAATGTGCAGTTTTATCACACAGCACAATACCACGGATGTCGCAAGTTTTGAGGGAGCATGCAATTGGCATGCTGACTGCAGGAATATCCACCGGAGCTGTTGCACGTGAATTGAATGTTCATTCCTCTGCCATAAGCCGTGTCCAAAGGTGTTTCAGAGAATTTGGCAGTACATCCAACCGGCCTTACAACTGCAGACCTCGTGTAACAACCTCCACATCCAGCATCTTCACTTTCAAGATCGTCTGAAACCAGCCACCCTGACAGCTGCTGCAAAAATCGGTTTACATAACCAAAGTATTTCTTCACAAACTGTCTCTGGGAAGCTCATCTGCATGCTTATCGTCCTCCTCGGGGTCTCGACCTGACTGCAGTTCGTCATTGTAACCGACTAGAGTGGGTAAATGCCCACATTCAATGGCGTCTGACACTTTGGAGAGGTGTTTTCTTCACAGATTAATCCCGCTTTTCACTGTACAGGGCAGATGGCAGATAGTGTGTATGGCGTTGTGTGAGTGAGCGGTTTGCTGATGTCAATGTTGTGGATCACGTAGCCCATGGTGGCAGTGGGGTTATGGTATGGGCAGGCATATGTTATGGACAATGAACATAGGAGCAGTTTATTGATGGCATTTTGAATGCACAGAGATATCGTGATGAGATCCTGAGGCCCATTGTTGTGCCATTCATGCCACGACCATCACCTCATGTTGCAGCATGATAATGAACGGCCCTATGTTGCAAGGATCTGTACACAATTCCTGGAAGCTGAAAACATCCCAGTTCTTACATGGCCAGCATACTCACCAGACATGTCACCCATTGAGCATGTTTGGCATGCTCTGGATCAGCGTATACGACAGCGTGTTCTAGGTCCTGCCAATATCTAGCAACTTCGCACAGCCATTGAAGAGCAGTGGGCCAACATCCCACAGGCCACAATCAACAACCTGATCAACTCTATGTGAAGGAGATGTGTTGCACTGCATGAGGAAAAAACAACACATTTCACAGTGTCCTTTTATTGTGGCCAGCCTAAGGCTTACCTGTGCAATAATCATGCTGTCTAATCAGCATCTTGATATGCCACACCTGTGAGGTGAATGGATTATCTCGGCAAAGGTGAAGTGCTCACTAACACAGATTTAGACAGATTTGTGAACAATATTTGAAAGAAATAGGCCTTTTGTGTGCATAGAAAAAGTTTTAGATCTTTGAGTTCAGTTCATGAAAAATGGGGGCAAAAACAAAAGTGTTGCATTTATAATTTTGTTCAGTGTAATATCTCTTTAAAATAATTTGATGTGACTTCCGGTGGATAGGAAGGACAGCAGTCGCAGGAATCTGGAGCTCCGTGCACCAAACGTTGGAAAATCTAACAAAATAATACCCACAGACCCCCAAACGTCGGCGGAGACCCCCACAAAGCAAAGCAAAGCACAATGGGGAAGAAAAAGAAAAAACCGGGACCAGACAGACATACCTCTGAACGGACGATCGGCGAAATGAAGAGGCAAGCACGAGGCACGATGGAGCCTAACATGGCGGCCCTTCATGGTGGCTGTTCTGATTTCTCGGACGATCTCTCTGGAGACGCTGAGGACGACTACATGACAGCCCTGACCATAACACGGAAGGCCAAGCCAACGGGAACCAACGGTGAGTTGGTAACCACAGGGGTTATGAAGGCACTACTGGCAGATCTCCAAAAGAATATATTGGCGGATGTAACTGCCCTCAGGGGCGAACTGCAGGGCCTGACAGGCCGCATCAGCACACTAGAGACAACGTCTCAAGGACACCAGCAGGACCTATCGTCCCTGCAACAGGCGGTACTGGACCTGCAAAGGCAGAACCAGATACATGAACGCCGCTATGCGGCTCAAGAAGATAGCAGAAGAAGACAAAATCTAAAGGTCAGAGGGCTCCCTGATGAGATACCTGAGACCGGCCTGCCGCAAGTTGTACAGCGTATGATAGCAGCCATATTGCCAAGCGGACAGGCCATGGCCCCTGTGGACCAATTTCCCTAAACCCCCCAGAGCACCACCCTCAGCGACAAGAGACACTATAATTACTTTCTGAAATCGGAAGGAAAAAGCGACGATTCTCTCGGCCCTCCGAGGTAAAACCCCTATGCAGTTTGAAAACAAGGACTGACCTTTTTTGCTGACCTGTCCGGTAGCACCCTGGCCTGGCGCAGATCACTCCAACCACTTACCTCTCTGCTCCAACGGCACGGCATCAACTACCGCTGGCGGAACCCCAGATCCCTCAGTGTACAGCAAGGAACGGCCTCTCATCTGGTTCACAACATTGAGGAAGCCCCTGACATCCTGCGGACTCTGGGCATTCCACAGACCTCGCTCAATCAGGAAAGGCTTCTTCACCCGACCACCACAACGCAACCTGGGACCCGGCAAAAATCAACTTGTTTATGCCGAGAGGTTCAACCCCTGAATCCTACGCCGCGGTCACCACCTAAACATGGCACCCCTGGGACTATACAATCTTTGGACGCTGAATGTAATTCACCCCAGCAGACACTTCTGAGACACTTATACCACACGTTATTTGTAGCCCCGGATTGCAGCGACTCACGCTCATCACCACGGCCAGTCTGGATAGCAACTACCCTCACCAACATGACTGCCTCCCGCAGACACACACTAGCGGACTAGTCAGAGGTCTTCAGACGGATGATATCATTGGACAACCAAATCCAACACACATGGGCAACCTTGCACTCAAGGCTCAGTTTGTTGGACATCCCTGGCAAACTTTGGGACTGTGCCGGTTTACGCTGCACCTGACACCCGACAGAACTCTGGCAACACGGCACGAACTATCTGCACATGCAGGCCTATAGCCCAGCTGAGATAAAGGTCGGATGACCACAAGGAAGGGAAGGGGGGAATAGCCGAAGTCCACAAGCTTTTGTTAACAGAGACTTTTCCTTTTTCTATTGTTTGCCTTTTTGTATCTCCCACGAT